ATCTAACGAGAAATAATTGGTCGAATTGATATCAATCACAAAGTCGAAAATCAAAATAAAATTGATCAAACCGCAAAATCGCGAACGTTACCTACGGAATTATGAATATTGGCTACGTAGGTCAATGTTCACGTTCCATTTAGATAGAGGCGCTATCTATCAATTTAAAACTTTTTATTATCAATATAAAACAAGAGTACGTAATTGTATAATATGTACAAGTTTTACAACAAGTATTATGCACTTTGTCATTTTCTTTTTCGAAATTAACTGCGGAATATTATTTTGTTTCTTCAGACGTGTTATCAGAAGTTCCTTATTTATATACATTCATTAATTATTCCAAAACTACAAATATATCTAAACTGTTGAGCAATACTTCTTAATTTATTAGAAAGAATTTGTCGCTAAAATTTATTTATTGGATTATTATCCAATATGTTTTACGTTGCATGTTGCTAACAGTTTGTTTTCAGCAAACAAATGTTGAGTACGTGCCACGAAAAATTAGCAACGGGGAAATATGTATGTGTAATACTATGATAATAATATTTCTGATTAATTAAATTTATTGTTATTGTCAAATCAAACTAACAACCATATTTTAACATCAATTTAATGTAAAATACAACTCTACATGCAAATAATTAATTGTTTAAAATATTTATTTTAATTACGTATAATATTGAGTTTACTTTTAATTTTTATCATCAGTCATCATTATTCGCAGAGTTGTGAAATACGAGAGTACAGTCGAAAGATACTGTAACATAAAACAATAAATCTAGTTAAATTTTTCTTTATATTAATAAGAAAGTAAATTTTTGATAATACATAAAAACGTATTTATGCGATTATTCTTTATATATTAATTAATTTTGAAATATATATGTATATATTTACTTACTTTAAATCTGTTAATATTTCTTCATTAAATTATTAAATGGATAAATAGATTATGGATAAAGTCAATAAAGTAATAAATTAGCAATAAAGAGTATAATAATAACCACAGTCAAATTTTTTATAAATATGTCAAGATATGATTTAGTAATTTAAGAAATAATAATATTTAACTACAAAATAATTTTAAAATGTTCTCAAAATTTTGACAAAAAATATTAGAATATTACTTAATTGTTGCAATTGTTAATACATATTATATTATGTTGTACTGTTAATTATTATTATATGTATGCCACAATATACGTATAGATAATATATAAAAATTACTTAAACAATATTTCTATTAATAAATGTATAATCAAATAATCTCACCGATGTAAAGTAATGATAAGATAAGGCGGGCAAAAGACAAGGTATTGAAACATTTACAGGTTTTTGACTTCTCATTATAATAATTTGCAGATATTTCCATATTCCAATAAAATAATTATGTTCGAGCATATCGAATACTGCTTGGCCGACATCTTCGCTCTGTAAAAAATAATAAACATTTATTAAAATAAAATTAACTTTAATATAACAAATTTAAAGAATAAATAATATACCGTATAAATCAAATATTCTGCTGGCCAAATATACATAAATACTTCCGTTAAACTTATTAGAACTAATCCGAAAGAAAGGATTATTGTTATTATAGGTTGATTCTATTAAAAAATATATATATTTATGTTTCTTACTTATATTCTTACATTAAAATATTTTTATCTAATTAAAATTATTTCTTTTTTATAAATAAAGAATATACTAATTATTGATATAGATGTATATATAAAGATGTAATACATATTATCGTGTGTGTGTACGTGCGTGTGCTTATTTTAATTTAAAAAATAATATTAGTCTAATAGTCTGGCAATAGTGCCATTCTTTTAATACTAATTTCTTTATTGCATTATTTACTTTTTATCATTTATACGAGAATACAAATATTAGATTTTCATAATATGTACTTACTGTAACCCACAATAAAAAGACTGTTATTAAGCCAATCGTGCTACAACACGTACTTAAAAATGCAAAAGGACCAGCAACGGTTGCAACTTTTCTAGCGTAGCTGAATAAATATAAAATACATATTACTATTATTAAAATTTCTTTAACTATATTTCCCATTAAAGTGAGAATTATGTTACGTACTTGAGTAATTCTTGATGTTTTTTAATACATTTGAATAGTTGATACACATTTGTGATTTTTCTTATTCTTTCAATTAATATTTCAAATCTTGCTGATGCAAACCAGAGCAAAAGAGCCATAAAAATATTTGTGCACAATTGTGCCGCCATTATTAGTCCAACTATAGATTGATGTATGTAGATAATAGCTTTTAGCGGTTGATAATATACATCAAACGGATATTCAGCAATTGTTGGAAAGGTTTGATTACTCATAGCTGGCTTTATGATAATGGTTGATATTGTGGTAAAATAGAAAATAAACATGGACATGCCATAGAACGGGATGCAACTGTCAATATGTCGTTGAATAATGATTTCTTCATGCGGTTGCATGAAATTGGAAAAATGTTCCATTTCAGCAGTGACATTCTGCAAATAATTACATAAATATAAAGAATTTATAGTAGTAAAACATGATTCTTTAATTAATATTTGAAGATTCGTACACCAGCGAATCTTTAAATATCAAATGTGTAAATATTAATTACCTGTATGTGATGGCCATTAATTCTACAAAAAACAAAATTCAAAGCGGTATGAAGAAAGCCGATCATATATGCAATTAATTGTACTAAAATTATAGGATCGTCAATATGATTTGTAAAAGTATATACAAACGGTGCCAGTAGACCTATTATTAGAACAATGTTGAAATAATGATGCAGTCTCACACAGAGCACCTTCAATCTTGTCGCATTTTGTGACAGGGGCCAACACGAAATTATTAACAAACTTAACTTTACCGCCGAGATCACTTCCTTTAGCATCACTTTTCTTCGCATGACTGCAGTGTGCTGTATCTTATAAGCGTATCGCAAGTTGAAATTATGGAAAATAAAAACTCTTTCGCGAGCCGTACCTAATAATGTATACGTCCCACGTGTTTGCAATAATATTATGATGAAAGAGTGTAGCAAAAGGGAGTTACTCTGAGAGAATATATATTCTTGCGTTTTTTCGTTTCGCAAGGGTATACTTATATAAAATTATCATGATTGCTATTAAAGATACTGCGCAATAAAACGTTCTTCGTCTAACTTATCGAGTTTCAATACACAGTAGCATTTTTCAATTATACCCTACATAATAATTTTATCGATACATGTCCGGTCGGCAAAAAGAAAAGAAATAAGTATGTAGGAAGTAACACATGTTTCACTGAAATAATATACAGCAGTTGAATAGATTTCACGCTCACGCAATATTCGTCTGTTGTTATTTTGAAAATAAAAGAAGGATTTAATGTTCTACATTTTCTACAATACGGAAATAGATGGAATAGGTGGAACAAGCTATAGACATAGCAATTCTCTGTGAAAATAATATTACAGAGAAAATGTTTGAAAAATGGGTAAAGCTTCGCTTATAAAAGTCTATAAAATATCAAATACATCACAAAAAATTTACAACGTAAGATTTAATAATAAATAAAATTTTGTCACTAATTTCGTACAAGACTCTAATTTCAATAATTATGCAGATATACAGGCCATCCTCCGATGATTTTGATCTTAACGTAGGTTACCAAGATCAGTTTCATCAAAATACTTTGCAAATAAAGGTGTAACGCTACTTTTCTACACTTGGAATTATATACATTGAAATAGTAATACATTACACTAGTAATACTACAAATTTAACATTAAAGAATATCGTTTATTGATACATAACTCTCTTTCAGTTGACATCTTTTACACCTCTTTTTGAAAAGGATCAATATGTAATCTACACAGCGAATGTCTTCTCAATTATTTTGAATTTTTAAAATTATTTTTCTTTATAATTTTGTGATACTTAGGCAGTAGATAAATGAGACAATCAAAGTCAGTAAAGTAGATTATAGATGAATTTTATTATCATATTAATAATGATTGTAAAATTAATTTATGAAAAAAAATTAATACTACTGCAGCTTATATCTCTAATAATATATTACATTAGAGATATATGGTCAAAATTATTATTGTAATGCATATTTTATTTTACAGAATTTTAATTTACTTTTTATTTTTGTTATTCTCAGAGATTAATAGCAAATAGTGACAATTGAAAATATATCGGTAAATAATCATCCTTACAAATCTTGAAGTAATATTTATTAATAATATTATTATAATAACAATTCTAATTCAATTTACTACCATTTTTCAATTAAATAATACAGCTTTCTGAAGTGTAGTAGTTATATTTCTGCAACAGTGCAACACGGTGTTGCTGATAGCCTTTCGTGCAAACATTAATTGTTTAATACGAGTATTTCAATTGCAATATAGTGTTTATATTTAATTATTTCCATTATTCCTCCATCATTACTCGCAATGTTGTAAAATAGGAAAGGACAGTTGAAAGATACTGTAACATATAATAATAAATAATGTTAAGTTTTCTTTTGTTAATAAAAGGTAAATTTTGTATAATATATAAAAAGTACATAAACAGATAATACATTGAAAATTATATTTAATTATTAATATTGTTAAAGCTTTTTGAACTAATACTAATATTCTAATTAAAAAAAAATTTTAGAGATATTTTGAAAAGTATAAAAGATTTGGAAAAATGTTTCAGATAAAAATTGAAAGAAGACAAATAATAGTAAAAATAATTTTTGAAAAAATCAATTTTTCAGTTATGTATAGGGTACCGCCATTTTTTTATATGAAATTATATAATTTTTACTTTTTTATTAATCTGCCATTTTTATTAATCTGCATATGAAAATATTAAGATAAGATAAAGCTATCGTATTATGATAAATTCAACAGTTTACGAGATATTTTATATTTTATATCAAAATATGGTATCAAAGATATAAAATATCTTATAAACTATTGAATTGTTAATTTACCTTAATACTTTTATATGTGTGCAGAAACAATTAAAAAAATTATAATATATAACAAATTATATAATTTTTATTGTAGGTATTTATATTATAGTTTTATATAAAAAAATGGCGGTACCCTTTATATGACTTTGAAAAATTGATTTTTTTCGAAAATTATTTTTACCATTATTTGTCTCTCTTCAGACCGTACAACTTTTATCTGAAACATTTTTTTGCATCTTTTATACTTTTCGAGATATTTCCACGCAAAAATTAAAATGTATACATAATTTAAAGGGATTTTGCAGGTTCTCAAGCCCAATGAGAAAGAATGAGGGCTTAGGTTACATCAAAACATATTTTTACAAAAACAAAAAGAAATTTGCAGACGTGACTCAACAAAATGATAAAACCAACTATTGCTTTCTTCTGTCAAAATGTATTCCAAAATAATATATATCCCGAATGCTAAGAATTTTAATTAATAATGATTTTTGGAATTAGCAAGTAAAATTGAGTAAAAAAAGGATGAATTCTTGCGTTCTTCTAAAATCATATATACATTCTAGACATTGTATAGACATATGAAATTATATAATAATATTAAATAATTAATATAAATGACATGTTAGCAAACTACTCAATTTTTAAACTAATTTCAAATTTGTTCTTACCGATGAAAAGTAACTAAGAGATACTTCAGGCAGAAAGATAGGTATTGAAATCGTTACTGGTTTTTGACTTCTCATTATAATAATTTGCAGACATTTCCACATTTCCATTATACGATTGTCTTCAAGTATATAGAATGCTGCTTGTGCGACTTCATGAGTCTGGATAATAAACATTAAAAAAAATGAAATTAATTATACGAGTACTAAAAAATTTAAGTGATAAGTAATTTACCATATGAATCAAATGCTCTGCTGGCCAAGAATACATAAATACTTCTGTCGTACCTATGAAGCCTATTCCAAGAAACTGGACTTTTAGTGGTAGAGGTTGTTTCTTTAAAAAAGAAATTTATATACATACTACTTTTATATAACAGAAACAGAATTTTAGAAACTAGAAATAGAATTCTTTTATATAATTCAAAATTCCTTTAAGGACTTTAAGTACATAGTTATAATAAAAGATATAATGATGGAGTATACGATGACATTGTGTGTACAGTGTACGTAATCTCTAGACTATTTTTTATTTTTCGAGTATGTTTGATAACCATGGTTTATATTATATATTTCGGCATAAATTTAGAAAAAAAAAAAGATTATTATATAAAGAAAAGCTATTGATATCAACAGATTTTCTAAAAAGACATTCACTTATTTTTTGAAAATTAAACGCACTTTATTAATACTGATAAAAATATAATCTGTTTAAATAATTAAAGAGGTAGAAATTCATAATTTATATATTTATGATTTGTTTTTATGTAAAATCAGCTAAAAATAAATTCTTCAAAAATAACATTCGTACGATTTTCTTTTGCAAATTGTGTAGTTT